TAGGTCGACGCTACCGATCGCATGGCATGCAGCCATGTCCTCCCTAAGATTATGTTGTAAGTGGAAGGGACTTTCAATACCCAGAATTCCACTTGTTTCGTCATGCTTCCTGCTCTGACTGGGAGGATTATCTTGCCAACTGGCCACTCTGGCATTGAGTTGAATCCGATCAGGGGAGATACGACAGGTGCCAAGTCTGTGTCCTCCAGTTTCAACTGTTTGAAGGTTTTGTAATACATTATCTCACATGAGCTCCCTTGGTCAATCAAAATTCTCTTGACGTCGTAATCCTTGACGCTAAGAGTGACAACTAGTGCATCATTGTGAGGGCAATATATCCTTGCCAAGTCTCTGTCTGAAAAAGACATGGCATTCGTGGCCTCTGTTTTCCCCTTTTTAATGGTGAACTGCGCACTTAATACCTCCCTTAAGTGTTTAGCCTTCTCTATCATGCCCCTGAGCTCACATACTCGCTCAGGTTCATATACACCATGTATTACGTTTATCACGCCTTGAGGTGGGGTGTTGATCAGCATTCTGTCTGGGTGATTATGGTTTTGGGGGGCTGGCTGTGTCCCTCCCTCAATGTACTGATCCAGATGCCCAGCTGCCACTAATTCTTCTAGATACTATCTCAACGGCGTGCAATTCTCAGTGCGGTGCCCTTTTTCCTTATGAAAGGTGCACCGAGATCTTTTGTCATAGTCCTTCTATGCCTCTTCCAATTTAGCTGGCCAACTGACGAAAGGTTCATCGCATATCGCAATGAGAATTCGATAAATTGGTTTTTTGAAAACCGTGGTAATAGCAGTATGGACTCTTAACCACCTCTTATCTTGGTCTTCTCCGTTGTCCCGCTTGCCTTGCCCGTTTCTGTTAGGACGTTCTACCGCGTTGACTTTTGCCGAAGTCTTTTTGTTTGGTATTGCGGTGATGCCAGACTTTGTTTTAGCGCGGGCACCATCCTCCTCCACCCAAATGTGCTGGTGTATCCTCTCCATTAAGGCTTCTATTGTGAGGGGTGGCGTCATGGTGATTGAGTCCCTCAATCTGTTTTCGACTGGAAGACCTCTTTTGTACTGTGCGATGACGAGATTTGTGGGGCAATCTCCTATCTGGTTGAAGGTCTCCCAATAGCGACTGTTGTAGGATCTCAATGTCTCCTTGTCGCCCATGTCAATGGAGAGTAGCTGATCGATCTCTATTAGCGTCTTGGTGTTCGTTCTGAACCTTGTCACGAACGCCTCTGCTAATTGCGCCCAGGAGGCTATGCTGTCTTCTGGTAGCCTTTCGAACCAGGTTAAACCTAGGTCGCCAAGGCTGGATGGGAATAGAATGCACATTAAAGCCTCGTTTCGCCAGTATACTGTCATGACCTGGCGAAAGTGGTTTAGGTGCATGTAGGGGTCTGTCTTTCCCTCGTAAGTCATAAATTTAGGCTGGATGAAGCCCGAAGGTAATGGTGCGTTCTGAATCGCCGGAACGAACAACGAGCTATGTAGCCTTGCCAATGCTTTATCTGTTGGTTCATAGGCAAGGTGCGGTATTGGCATTCCTACCTCGACGCTTCCGTGCGTCCGAGAAGCTAACCGCTGAAGGGCTGAAATTCTGTGTGGGTCGCGTGCCCTAGCATCCTTCTTCCGTCGTGCCTTTTCTTCAAGCACAGTTAGTAAGTCGAACGATCTAGGCAACTCCGTTTGCCTGGATGATGTCTGGTGCGTTTGTGAGGGCCGATAGGTACTTCCCTCAGTGAAAGACCTCAATGATCTCGTTCTCTTAGACCTGGAGTAACGAGTTCTGGAAGTCCTTGATTGAGTGTCGCCTGTCCTGAGACTTTTACTCTTTGCTTGCAATGGCGTGGTATGCCTACCATGATCTTCAGAGTGGCGAGGAGGCATATTGCTTTTGCGCCCCTCTCCTGTCGCCACTCCCTTTCCTTTTATCTAGCACTTCATCAATTCCATGTCTGCCGTCATCTTCCTGATTAACTCATCCTGCTCCTTTACCTGATCTTCCAAAGCTTGAAGGTCGATCCTCCTCCTCTGCTTATCGGGACTTGATGAGCGACGGGGGCTGTTACCCCACCTTCTCCTTGCATCCCTCTGGGGATTCTGTTGCTGGGGCTCCAGATCTACCATGGAAGGGATGGAAGGCAAGCCTTCGCACCACCCACCTCCCTCCGGGGTTTGCCCGTCAATGGCAGACTGTGGCAAATCCTCATTGTGTGCCATTGCATATAATCTAGCGAGGAAAACTTTGATCAAGAGGTTTTGTTCTTTCTGTGATTCCCACAGACGGCGCCAATTGTACGAGCAAGAAATAATCTTCTCATATAATCCTGTTGATCAAGTCCGCGCTCCTCCAAACGACGTCGCTTTACTCCCTGAAAACACAAACGTGAGCTAGCCGGCGGGTGTGTGCCAGATACCTCTCCGATGCCTAAGTTAGCAAAATAGACAAATAGACAAAAGCTCTATGTATTCGAGAATCAAAGTTGCGTTACCTCTCCATAGGTGATGTTATGAGCTTTTATAGGTTTCGTGTGGCACAATCCAAGTACGACTCTTACTCCTCCATGTAGAGTCCTCCTAGGAATCACCTTACTGAAAGATAATGCTTATCCGTCCATACCCCCCTCACTGCTTAAACCAGGTGAGATGGTTCTACCACGGTTGGATGTCAATACGACCGAGATAACATGGCTATGCTAAAGCCGCAGACTAGACCGAGCTCCCACTAGCTCGGTTCTTCCTTTCACTGCGTGTACCTCGGTTTGACATATTCCAACTGGGTTGTCTGAGACCGCACTAATCATATCGAGCTTGGACCGAGCTAACCAATAGCAAGGTTCTGAGGAAAGTTTAACATACTTTGGCTCAATATGGTATGACCGAGCTAACCGTTTTGAGTGTGGTGACCGAGCTAACCGCAGAGCTTTCTTGGACCGGGCTAACTTCTAGGCCCTTTTCCTCAGCCCTTCTTACTGTGGTCCACAGAATGACCCATTACCCAGCTCGACCCAATTTACGCATAAATTACCCTCTTAAGTTCTATAAATTTTGTGTTTTATGATTCTCAAGAAGACATCTTATAAGTTTCTATAGTTAAACATATGGCAATTGTGATTGTATATAATTGCATTTTTTCTCTTTTTATTAGGTGATTAAATCAAATGAGATAAGTAAGGATTCAAGGTATATGAATCCATCCTTCTAGTTATGTAATTTGATTCAAAGATTTTGAATTTCAGGTTTTAAAATAAATGAGAAAGGAGTTTGTAGATGTTTTTTTTTTTTTCAAAATCTTAAGGTCTAAAAATTAAGGGAATTAGTTGCAGTTCAAATTGTAAATTCTACCAACATTCTATGGCATTGTTTGGGAAAAAAAAGTTGAGGCTATTGTAGGAGAGCATCTATTTGCACACACTCAATCCTCTATTTGCACATCCTTCTTAATTCACACACCTAAAAAAATAAAAAATAAAATATTTACTCATTACACACACTTTTATTTCTATTATATCCCCCATAAACACAACTTTCTAACCCTCCCAATCCACACACCTTCCAGACCGGCGACCACCTCGCCGGTGGAGACGCAACACCATCGTTACCACCTCCCTTCCAGTCGCCATTCCCACCCCTTCCTCCATCCCCCGGCGACACTAACGCCCACTCCATCCCTTTGATCTCTCTCTCTCCCCCCCTCAGTTGCGAAAAGGGGGCTTTGGATGTTGATTCTTTCCAGATCTAGGTTCTCCTCTCTCTCTCTCTCTCTCTCTCTCTCTCTCTCTCTCTCTCTCTATGCAGAATTAAGGGTCGCAAAGGGGTGGAAGCTGCGGCGGCGGTGGTGTTGTGTCCCGAAGTGAAGGGTTGCAGGGGTGGTGGGGAGGGTGAGTGAGCGATGAACGATAGAGTGGGGTGGAGCTTCAATTCGAGAAGATGGAGGCTGGAGAGAGGCGACGGAAGGAGGAAGGAGATGACCAGAGGGGGAGACACTGTGTTGGGTATTAGGTTTAGGGTTGGGGTTTTGGTTGGAGAAGAAAGGGATATTTTTGGTAATTTTATTTTAGGATAAAAATGTAATAAAAAAACAGAGCTGTTATAGGGCCCGAAATTCTCAAACTCGAATTTGCCCCGAATCCAAAACGACGTCGTTTTGGATTTTTTTTTTTTTTTCTTTTCTTTTTTTTTTCTCACTATTTTGTAGATGATGAAGAACAAGCAGAAGCAGACAAAGAAGAAGAAGAAGAAAAGAGAAGAGGAAGAGGAAGAAGAAGAATAAAAAACATCTTCATCAACACATCAACAACAACATCTTTATCAACACATCATCAACTAGAAAAGAAAAAAAAAAATCAGATCAGATCAGATCCACTAGAAAAAAAAAATAAAAAATAAAAAATCAACCAAAAATCAACTACTCTCTCTCTCCTCTTCTCTTTACCTCTGTTGCCGCCGATTGACCACCACCTCCCCCTCTGCCGCCGCTGCCCCTCTCTCTCTCTCTCTTCTAAACGCCCACCGCACCACCTCTCTCCAAAACCCATCTCCTACCGCCTGAAATTTGGACTCTACCGACCTCTTCTGCATCATCGAAACCCTAGCTCTGGTCGGTCACCATCAGTTCTACGGCTTCCCTCCATCGATCGAAGGTTTCTCTACTTTCCAGATCTCTAGATCTCATCATCGCTCAACAATCCGAACTTGTCTCTCTCTCTCTCTCTTCTCTCCTCTCCTCTCCTCTCCTTTCTCTCTCTCGGCTCGCCTCTGTAACAAGTAAATGAAGAAAAAGAAAAAAAAAAAAACAAATTGAAACCCAAAACGAGCCAAATTCAAACCATTGATTTCGGGCCTTTAAACAATTTTTTTAAAAAAATATCATTAAATGTGTGAAGAGGGGGGACCGGTGTGTGCAAATTGAGGCTCCCCTAGCCTCATATATGAAAATAGCCAAAGACAATTACCGTTTTACCCTTGACTATTTCAAAAAAACGTATACAGATTGCACCTATTCCACATCTCATTTCACGCCTCTGCCCTATCTCATCTGTTGCGTCTCTCACAACGGACCGAAGCGACACGAGTTAGCCTGACCGATCTCTCTCCGGCGGAGCTCTGCCTTCCACACAACGCGACCGGCGAAGAACTGCGACAGGTAAATCACCTGAACTGATTATACATCTGTTTGTAGCCTTTGCCGACTCGGTTATGTTGATTTTTCATTCCGATCTTCAAGATCTTGCTGTGTTTTGCCCCCTACTGATGGTATTCTTTGGATATTTTTGGCGATCTGGTGATGATCTTTCTTTCCCCAAATTGTTTTCGCCGGCAACAAGATTTTTTTTTTTTTTTTTTTTTTTTTTTTTTTCCAATTCAATGGCTGATAATAACCCAGAAACTTGATCTGTCTTTCCCCAAAGTGATCTTACTATGCTAGTTTTAGTTATATATATATATAAAGATGAACTTAGGGGTTGCAAAGGAAAGAGCCATCGCCACCCCTGTGATTTGAAAAAAAAAATCTTACTATATCTGTGACGGCTTTAGAAATATTAATCATGACAGTCATTCAAAAACTTGATTAGAATTCATACAAAAGAAATCATATTCGTCAATATTTATCTTTCAATTTTAATGAATTTTTAGATTTAAACTTCTTTAATCTCAAAAAAACAAGAATTTTAATATATTGATACTATTATTCGAACCAAAAATATATTAATTAGATGCATGAAATTTTGCAATTGCTCTCTACAAGCCATGTGACTTACACATAAAATTTATTTGGTGCAAATTCTTTAAAGCTAAATGGTTATAATTATAAAATAAAAGCTAAAAGTATAGTTCTGTTTGGTTTTGTTTTAGAATTATGATTTGAGTGTGGAGTTGAGATTTAAGCGTGGAGTTGTGAGTTGAGTTTTGAAAAGAAAAAATTTGCTTGGTTATGAGTTTTGAAAAGAATTTTTAGATTTTAAATTTTGAAAAGAGTTTTGAGTTTTTGAATTTTGAGTTGTACTATGAAATTTTTTGGATTTATTTTTTTAAACATTTAAAAATGTTTAAGAAAAATTTATTTTATTTATTTTAAATATATAGTTTTTATTTAAATATTTTATTTTTTTTAAAAATATTTTAAACACAATACACAACTCCACACTCAAATAAATAATGTTTTGGTTAAGCGGTTTCTTTCAGACCTGAGATTTTTAAAGTTTCAGTTGTGTCTGTTGATCTAATTGTGGATTTATTGGTCTGATTTTACTAATCGTTGGTTATAGAAATGAAAATGATAGATTCAATTTGTGTTCATATGGTTATTTATCCCCAAAAAAAAAAATTGTGTTCATATATGGTTGTTTTTTGATCTGGATGTTGTATTTGCTATGTTAAAATCCTAAGTTTTCATTAATAAAGCTTGTAATGTATGCTTTTACAATGCATCCTGACGAGTCTTTTTCTTTTGAAAGTTTTGCATGATGGTATCATTATCAATGCGATAAAAAATGTATTTTCTTTCTCTATACATATAACATTTATCAATTTATCAATATAGTTTGTGTAAATCTCAAATCACAAATTTAATAATCCCATAAATCATATAAATGATGCAATTTTAGCCGATTCAACCACGTAAGTCCAAATCACAGATTCAACACAATTCACAAATCATAGTTTCAATAATCACACAATCACATAGCGTAGATTCAACACAGCCTTCAAACCAGTTAGGTCTCCCAACTTTTGGTATTAAAGTAGATGATTAATACCAGGATATAAGTTGAGGTGGTGAATGCAAAAGCTAGTTACATGCCCTCAGAAGGATGTGTATTTTTTTTAAGAGGCTAGTGTTTGTCAGACAAGGGATTAATTGTTTACTGAGTGATTTCTTCTGTGAGAACAATAACTGGTTGGATCATGTTGATTCTCAACATGCAATATAAGATTCTTACATGTCCAAATTCCATATTTCTATATTGTTAGGATTTGTTTTTTTATTTATTGAAAAATAATTTTCTGGCATTGTAAGAGTGTATTTTGCTTATTATTTAGAGTTGCTTGTGTTATAAAGAATGAGTTCACCAAATTACTGTTGTGTTTCAACAATTAGTGGCCATTTGTTTAATGATTTAATTTGAGTCTGATCACAAATTGTAGCTTGGGAGGTACTATATAACTGCAAACTAGTAAGTAAAGGAAGGTTAAAAGCGGAATCACTGTGATAAAAAATAAAGGAAAGATGCCGGCTCAGAAGATTGAAACAGGTCACAATGACACAGTTCATGATGTATCCATGGATTACTATGGAAAGCGTGTAGCAACCGGTTCATCCGATACCACTATCAAAATAATTGGTGTAAGCAACAACTCTACTTCACAGCACCTTGCAACACTGACTGGACATCAAGGCCCAGTTTGGCAGGTTGCTTGGGCTCATCCCAAATTTGGATCAATCCTCGCTTCCTGTTCTTATGATGGTAGAGTAATAATTTGGAAGGAAGGTAATCAGAATGAGTGGACACAGGCTCATGTTTTCACCGAACATAAATCATCTGTCAATTCAATTGCTTGGGCACCTCACGAACTTGGCCTCTGCTTAGCTTGTGGATCTTCTGATGGGAATATCTCAGTGTTCACTGCCAGATCCGATGGTGGTTGGGATACCACCAGGATAGACCAAGCCCACCCTCTTGGAGTGACCTCAGTTTCATGGGCCCCTTCTATGGCTCCTGGTGCTCTAGTTGGATCTGGCATACTCGATCCTGTTCAGAAGCTGGCTTCTGGTGGCTGTGATAATACTGTAAAGGTGTGGAAGCTATATAATGGAAATTGGAAGATGGACTGCTTCCCTGCGTTGCAGATGCACGCTGATTGGGTGAGGGATGTGGCTTGGGCACCCAACTTGGGCCTTCCAAAGTCTACTATTGCAAGTGCTTCGCAGGATGGTACAGTTGTCATATGGACTGTGGCAAAAGAAGGTGATCAATGGGAAGGTAAAGTTTTGAAGGACTTTAAGACCCCTGTTTGGAGGGTCTCATGGTCCTTGACGGGAAACTTGTTGGCTGTGGCTGCTGGGGACAACAACGTCACATTGTGGAAAGAAGCAGTTGATGGGGAGTGGCAACAGGTGACCACAGTCGATTAATACTAATAGATTTCAGTTTTGTTTTTGTTTCTATTGTTGTTCCTGTCTTTTGGCAGTGTTAAGAACTAGTTTGCTAGTATTCTCATTACAATTTTCATTCTGCTTTTGCTTTCAGATACTTATGTTTGTATGGGTTAATGTGATGAGTGATTTATTAAATTTAGAAATGAGATTTCACTACTTCTCTTGTTTGAGGCATCCTGAAGTTCAGGTTGTTTGCTTGAATTGAAACAAAGTTGTTTATGTTGTTTTGGGGAGGTGAAGCAAAATGAAGTGGCTATAAAGCTTCTATGGTTTCTCTACCAGTGATGGAGCTGCCAAAAATATTTGTTCCAAATCAGACGACAACCTCTTGGATTTCTTCATCCTTTTTTTGGGGGGTTTAAATTTACCCGTAAAAGTAACATTTTGAGGCTTTTTTGTTGGGTAGCCTGAACCCACTTGGACGAATTAAGTGGCCTGTTTAAGTCATTTACACTTACGCCTCTTAGGAGCCCATTTGAGCTACCCAACACTTCACTAATTTGTTTTTCACTCATCGCTGATTTTTGTAATGATGGCACACACATGCTTCTCTTGAGACCTGGTCTCCTCTCAGCCAAATTTAGAGTTCCCACCTCTGCACCTGTTTGGTTCACTATTGAGACAGATGCAGAGTAGCAATTATGCCCATCTACTGTCCCCTCCTTTCTATCCATGATCCTTTTGCCGATTGCCATGTCACCATAATCCTCCACCTCAGCTTCCATGTCTTCCACGTCATCATCTTCATTGTTGTTCCCATGGCAGTTTGCCGAGCTCTGGGCATCCCTACCCTTGTAGTTTTCTTCTGGGTTACTCTCCTCAACTACTCAAATTGGGTAGATGCTACTTTTGCTTTCCAAAATTGCTATTTTATCAATTCGTTAAAGCTGAGTTGTGCAAATTCTGATCTTACCACACTTCAGAGACTCCATTTTTGATGTCATCTCATCAATCTCTACTACTTCACCCCACAACATAAATCTTGAGGTGGTTCTTCATAAAGCCCATTTTGAAAGATCACATAATGGGCTAGTTATTATCAAGTCTAGATCCATAGGATTTGGGGACAACCAAATTATGGGTTGGACTTAATCAGCCCAATGGAGTGATTACTGTATCTCTTCCAGAAGCCCAGGAAGATTATGTTTGTGAGACGACATCACAGAGAAGCTGCACTGATGATGATCAAGAGGAGCATGAAGGAAATAGGGGAAGATCTAGAAGAATGCAAAGAAGGGACCACCCTTTAGCAATGGTTTTCAAAGGTGAGCATTAGTTTGTGTATCAGCTGCTGCAGTTTCAGCTTTAGTATCAGTCAGCAGCAGCTTAAGCAAACAGAGGAAACTACGGGAAGAAGCTCAGGCTACAATCCAAGTTGGGAAGGCTCTGGGGGTGGAGATGAGAGGAAAGGAAGGGGAAATTATTGAAAAAATAATCCAGATGGAGAATGATGATGCTGAAAAACCAAGTGCAAATGGGGGACAAGATAGGTGTTTAATTTAGCATCTTTGGGAGTTGAAGGTGAAATGTTGGTTTTTATGAAAGATTATGTCATGGTATGTGAGAGGGTTAGGAAGGGTGGAAAAAAAACAAAATCAAGGAGATACTGAGAGTGAAGAAAACTGATATGGTTTTGTTACAAGAACCAAAAGATCAAACACTACGGAAGACTTTGTTAGGTCTATATGTCTTATTACCTGATGAAGTTTATGGCTGTAGATGCTAGAGGAAGTGCAGGTGGGCTGCTATGTATTTGTCAGCCAGAAGTATTTGTCTTGAAAGATTGTTGCTGCTCCAAAAACTTCATCTTACTTACAGGTACTATTCATTTAAGTATTGAATGTGTGATTGGAAATGTATATGCCCCAAATGAAGATATGAATAGAAGGAGGGTTTGGGGTGTGTTAAATAACCTAAAGAGTGCCATGGTGTTTAGGAGGTGATTTTAATGAAATCAAAACAATAGATGAAAGAAAAGGATGTCTCAGAAGGGATAGAGGAATGGCTGAGTTTGGTAATTTCATTAGCAACCTTGAAATGATAGATATTCCAATGTTGGGAAGACAATATACAAGGGGTAATTCTCAGAACTGGAGCAGGTTAGACGGATTTCTAGTGAACCTTGAATGGCTAGAGTGGTCTAGATTTGAAGTATGGGGATTGCCTAAATTTTTCTCAGATCATAGCCCAACTATTTTGATGGAAGAGGAGAGAAATTGGGATCCCAAGCCCTTCAGATTTATAAATGCTTGGGCATTGCATCCTACCATTGCACCTGCCTTTCCATTGACTATACTGAGCAAATGACTTATGAAAAGACAACCACAAATTCACTTTCTCCACCCGTCGTCAAAGCTTTTATTTTTTTTTTTTTGGTGCAGTAGATAGTCCCACTCCACATGATCACACGTGTTTTCACAATATGTTACGGTGACAATTATCCATTTTTGTTAATAGATGTTGATTCATGAATCGTAGTAGGCGTATTAACAGAAGATGCCACTGCGTATTAACAAATATGCCACTGTGATCTGAATAGCTTAGCTCCAAATGCCAGTTTTGAGCTTTCGGCTGTATTTATTCTAATTCTATTTTTATTTAAATTTAAATTTTCAAATCAAATCAATTTTTTGCAAATGCTTGTTTAGCAAGGAGTTTGTGATCTAAATATAACCTAAAAAATTAACATTTCAAGACTTGGTTGGATAGTGTGAATCCTCTTAGAGGAATTCACAAATCTTAATTTAATTACAATATATATTTTGTTAATGTGGACATACTTTAAAATTCAATTAGCAAATCAACTCAATTGTTTTTCTTTTTGTTTTTCAAACGGCATTCCCTAAAAGAAAAATGTTTGAGGGCCCGAAATATGAGGCTCGAATCCGGCTCGAAGTCCAAAACGACGTCGTTTTGGACTTCAAATTTTTTTTTTTTGATTTCGTTTTTTTTTTTTTTTTTGTATTTTTAGAAACAAAGTAGTGTTTTGGGAAGTTGGTAAAAATTTGACTTTTTAATTTTTTGGTGACTTTTTTTAGCAAAAAGCTGAGTTGTTTTAGGTAAAAAAGCTGACTTTTTTTACTAAAAAAACTAAAAAGCCAAAAAAACTAACTTTTTATCATTGTTTTCAAAAGACCCCAAAATAAAAGTTTCAAACTTTATTACTCCTTTCTTTTATGTGAAACAACTTTCCCAATTTAAAAACAGCTTATCTTTAGATTTTTTTTTTTTTCTTAAAATTAATTTTTGAAACAATATTCACTCTATTTGGTCTTCATTTTCAGAAAATTCTACTTTTTCATTTTTCGTATTTTATTTTTTTGTTTTCACTAAATTTTTTTAATATTTCCATAATTTTTTTTTAACTTTTAGACACACCTAACATAAATACACTTAAAAAGTATAATATTTGTAATTTTTTTAAAAAAATTCACTAAATATCAAAAATATAAAAATTCAGTATAATTTTCATTTTTTTGTGAATTTATTAATTTTTAAAAATATTTTTCATAAATATTTTATAATTTAAATATATCTAAGTAAGGTATATTTAAAAAAGTAAAAAATTACTTAAAATATTTACTAAAAATAAAAAAAAGATACAAAAAAATAAAAAACTCAATTATCAAAAAATTAATTGAAAAAATTAAAATCAACCATTTACAATATCTTGCCTCGCGTTCATAACAATTTTAAATTTCCGCGTCTCTCGTTCATGTAAATCTCCATAAACCCTTTTGAATTTCCCTCTCCTTCTTAAAAGTCCTCTCTCTCTCTCTCTCAAACTCTGTTTGGATTGTCAAAGCTGGTTGAGGAATGTCGTCTGTGGCTCATCGAGAATCCGAGTCTAAAAACCCATACTACTACAGCCGCAAAGAGAAATCTCTCGGCCTCTTGTGCTCCAAGTAATCTCTCTCTCTCTCTCTCTCTCTCTCTCTCTAGATCTATATCTATATATTTCTTGGTGGATCTGGGTGGTTTTGTAACATAATGATTTTTGTTCAGTTTTCTTAACTTTTATAATCAAGATGGCGTGGACTCGATTGGATTGGATGATGCTGCAAATCGATTAGGTCTGGAACTAGTCTTATAATCTCAATAGATTTATTGGTGGGTTAATTTCACTTTAAACTATCATCATTGTTTCTATTTCGTCTATTAGTTCCTAAAAATTTTAATTTCTGTTTATGTGGTCTAATTAAAGATACAAATCAATAATCATTGCAATCTAATTTAATGGGAAAAATATTATTTCAAATTTTGAATATACCAAAAAAAAAAAAAAACCACATTTTCTTACGATTTTGACCAAACTACACAATCAATTTAATGGGTGTTTGGTTGTATCATTTAAATTGTTTAAATTTAAGACTATCTTTTTGCCCGTCAAATAAGGCTTTAATGGGTACTTTTTTATATACTTGTCTTTAATTGAATAACATGAATAGAAATCAGATATTTCAGAGAAATAATTAATAATATAGAGGTGAAATAGAGGAAATGGTGATAGTTTGGGGAATACAATTGAGATTAACTTCTTTTTATTTTTTTAATGTTATTCTGAAGTTTTGCTTATGCATAGTGTTTATTGAATCTAATTGAATTTGCAGGTGTTGAGCGGAGGCGAATTTATGATATTGTTAACATATTAGAAAGTGTTGGTGTATGATCTTGTGCACTTCTTTCTCTTCTGATTCGGATTCTTTTTCTTATAGAGCTGAATTTTCTTAACACATCTGGGTTCGTTAATTTTCCAAGGTATTATCAAGAAAAGCGAAGAATCAATATTTTTGGAAAGGTTTTAGTGCAATCCCACGGGCTTTAGATGAGCTTAAGGTAGTCAAAATTTTGGGTTTTTAGTTTTGTATCAGTAACCAATAAATTGGGAGTGAAAATTTCTGATTTTTTTAATTTTTTATTATTTTGATTTGCTTACTAGGAAGAAGCATTGAGAGAGAACTTCTCCACCTCAGGTGTCTTTCATTCTGCCAATGTATGTTAGCAAGGGTCTTACATAATATATTTTTTATTTATCCTCTGTTTGGCTGCCAAGAAAATATGAGGAAAATGTACGAAAATCAAATGTTCTGAATGCTGTTATTTATGTTGTTTCCTTTTGGGATGATAAGAATTAGTATTGAATCACTCTCTCTGTACACATCTTA